GTCGGTGTTTTTCAGTTTGATTTGCATCATTAAATGAAGACTTCCGGGTATATATATGATTGGAATTGTCAACGAAGTTCAGTCTCAGTAACATACGTACATACACTTTTATCTTCCTCAAAATTTCAAGTTTAGTACCATCTGACGTATTTCGTTCTTTTATTCCATTTATTCTTTGTATACAATGTTTCTTATCTAGTACTGCTTTAAATCCGTTGATTCTTCTCTTTAGGTTCTATTTCGTTATTCTGTTATTAGATATGGCAACTCGGACAAGTACATATTCATTTCACTTAGTATGCTATCTATGGGTGATTTGTAAGCAAATTATTTTCAACCGGTTTGCCCATTGGTTTTAACAATAATGCAGAACTTTTTTAATTTCGTCAATATCATTTTTTTCTTTTTTCCAATATTAAACTAACAGTTTCAGTAGTCAGTACCATTTTTTCAAACATTCGTACATCACTTCTGTTCTTCATGAAGAACAACCTTATGAACTTTAAAGAAATTGTCTAACTTTTTTGATGAGTTTCATAATTTAGAGGGAAAGTTACCCCTTTAGTATTTCATACTTCATTCTACCTAATGCTTGGAGTACATTTTTTCCGATTTTTAGGGTCTAATCCAGAAGCTATAATCGTTTTTTCTCTTAATAGTATGGCATAGGGACAACCTTTAGAAATTATTAAAATACTAACGATGAGTCCTAATGATTCAGAAAATAACTTTTATAAACGAATGAACAAAAAAATAACAATACAGAGATTTTACATAATTAATTAATCTTTTGAGGTTTTATTTAAGTTTTTCCGTCTGTAAATGGAAAAAGCAATAACAAATTTGCTCTTGTGGCTATAAAACATATAACTTCATGAACCTGTCTAAGGACACTGGCAGCTGTTTGGGAGTCTCCACACTGTTCACGGATAAGTTTAGTGAGGTTTAGTGTGACAGAGTTATCTCATGTACCACTGGACATCCGATTGGTGACATACTAACTGTGCACCTTTGAGTTTTACTTGTTTTGTTGTTAGATTGACTGAAAGTTTTACACACACTTCCTTCAAAGTTTATATTTCACAAGATGATTTCGGATGTAGTCTACTGCTGCAGTGTAATTGAATTATAGTCTTTCCTAAATATCTCATGTTCGAACTGGTGGCATTAATGATGAGCTGTTCAGCAGTAAGACTGAACTCAGAAAATAAGTTGAGGTCATTTACATTTGAAGTCAGATCACGCTCAAAGAAGTTTCTTCTCAGAAGGCTTAGAGTTGATCTGTGTTACATATACCTTAAGTAGAAAGAATTAAGCATTTGATATGCTTAACACAATAATTTGTACTCAATTGATACAAAAAGAATTTTAGTTATTTTTTAAACTTCCTGAGGACTACACAGATGTACTTTTGCTGCTTGTTCTATGCGATACAGGATAAGTGTTTTCATTTTTGAACTTCATGCAAAATCTCAGAAGTCATTTTTTCTATTTTGATTGGTTTGATCCTGTATCATAATTTATTGCATTTTATTCAAGTTTTACAATGATCATATGTGTTATTTAAAATGGATTTTTGTATAAAACACTTACTGATCAAAACCTAATCCAAATTATATTCATTTAAAGGTAGTTGTAACGTTCATAGTAATAGATGGCTGGAATTTTCATTTAAGTAAACTCTGAAGTTTTTTTCAGTAAAATCCAAATAATATTTTATAAATAACGAGTATAATTTGAGAATACAAACTGAGCTAGTTCTAATTACTACTTAAAAGAGTAAAAGTATAATATCCAGACGACCATCAGTAACCTATCAGCTTATCCGGAAACGCTGCCTAGTTACAAAATTATTATTATCTATCCTCATGGTGCACTTGCCTGTGCATTAAATTACATCAAGTACTTTACTAAACGTTCAACATTAGGAGCAGTTATGTTTTGTAATTTAGCTCAAGCACCAACATAAATTCACTTTATGGTTACATAAAAGATATTTTTGTTCATTTAAAGCATTTTAGGGATCAAATATTTGAAATATTCCCATATTGTAAATTTAGAACAACATATATAAGCGAACAATATTGTTTTCGATTAGATCCTCATCAGGCTTTACTCTAATATACAGTAATATTTATATGCATATACGAAATTATTAAATCAATCAAGGTAGTTTATAAGTCAATGATAACAATGGAAAAGATTACATAATAAGTAAAATGTGAAAAGTACAAATTGATGGTGTGACAACAGGTGCATTAGTTTTTGATAAGCAATAATAATAAAGGTTCAAATCAATGTTACATAATCTGAAATAGGTCAATGATTAGAAAAATATAGAAACTGAGATAACAATTATAAAATTATAAGATGACGTAATAAGAAATGTTCAGATAATTGGACCATGAAACGTATAGTTGAGAGAAAATAAAGTGGTAGGAGGGTGTGAAGAAAAATAATAAACGAAGAGAATAAATAAATAAATAAATACATTCATTTATTACTTAAGGCCAAGGGAGAGATAAGGGAGTTACAAATTTCTTCTGGACACAAAGACGTGGGTTGTTGGCTCGGATTCCTATAGCTTCTGCTATGTGTAAGAGACGAGATCGAACACCATAAGGAAAACTAGTGGGAATCCGATAAATAACTTTGAACGACTTGTTTCTGTCCACTATATGACCGCTATCGATCAAGTGTGATAGAACCGTATATGCATATAAATATTACTGTATATTAGAGTAAAGCCTTATGAGGATCAAATATTGTCGATATTTACTTCGTTTATAATAACACAAAAGTCGTCTATCACTACACTTCAAATTTCGCAAAAGATACAAGAAGGATCATCGTAATTCTGATTGGCTAACCCAGGAACGCCAGTGCATTGTACTTTTACGGTTAAAATAGCAAGTTTGTTTGAAAATAACTTTTGAAAACTGAAAATTAATCATACTATATATCTGAGTAGTAAAGTACAATAATATTATTATTATTATCAGCTTTATTCAATATTATATTTTTGGTGCAATATAGAATTCTCAGCGTAAAGTATTTCAACAAGTTTCCGTTTCTTTCTTCTTCGTCGGTCCTGGCGATAAATATTGAGTGATCGCCAGTTAGATGTTAGCAGTTCACTAGATGAACATCTGAATAATATGCATTCTTTTGGTTGTATATTGCCAGCAACCACATTATCTCTTATTGAGTTGTTTGTAACTTTGACAACGAAAGGTTGTACACTTTTCAGAAACGCAGCAGAATAGGTTGTGCGATTAATAAACATAATGATATATTAAAACAAACAAAAATAGATAACTTGTTGAAATATCTAGATGACAGGAACAGGTAGCCCAGATGCTCAAGCAGGCCGCCGAAAGTCTTATGGATATATAAAATTTAGGTTAAAAATATAGAAAATGTTCAAGCAACATTTTGGGAAACGTGTTTTTAACAGTCACATTATCAGTTTTATCGGTCTAATTGGAAAAATATAGCAAAACAACTATTGTTCAGTTAAATCTGCTATTTATTCAACTGACGAAATATTATAACAACATTGCGAATTGATGTAAGTTGATAGTGTGAGCCACTAGCTTCTATGTCAGTGTTCTGAGAGGTACTTTATGCTGAGAATTCTATATTGTAACGAAAATATGACGTTGAATAAAGCTTATAATAATAAAAATAACGCACACACACTATTAGGTGTGCAGATCGTTATTATATCCAGATGATATCATAGGGGCTCACACTTGTCGAATCTCTTACTGGAATAACTTACCCATCCAAATAACCACAGGTTTTGATGGTTGTCCAGAAAAATTCAATCTGTTTTTTAAACTACCTTGAAATGATTAACGTTTCAAACACTTCAGTTATAAAATTGATATGGTATTATTTTTAAGTGAGGAATATAGATTCTAAGAATAACCGTTAGGCTTTTTATCGCCGTTTAACTACACCTTGTATTTTTAATGCATTTGCTCATTGACTTCTTGTCTCATCTCATAACATCAAAATACGTTTTCTAAGGATAAGTTTATTAAGCATCCTGTGTCCTATAAGAGATTTCTGTATAAGAAAAGATGAAAGTATTAAAATAGCAACAAACGTTTTAAATGATTAAACCTACCAAAAAAATACAGCCTCGGCACTATGCATAACTATGATAATTTTTTAAACTGTTAAAATTGTAACCAAAGAATATTCAGACTATTCCAATAGTATCAAATGTATAAATATATTTGAAACAGTCTGAATGATTGAAGCGATTTTAAGATGATTTCATTACATAATCTCAAAGTAGTTTTTCTGGTACAACATTTGAATTATTTAAATTCCAGTCTTCGTGTTTTTTAGCCGTAAGTTGGTATAATACAAGGTTCTCCACAGAATGCTCACATTCAAACTGGCAGAGTATTTAGTAGTCATACAAATGTTTATTAGCTACCATCTTATGATGACCGATTAAACGCTTAAGAAGTCATTCCAAATCAAAATGATTGAGAAATACTACTTTGAATTGATTTGAATGAAGAATCTTGATAAACATATTTTCGTTACTAACTACATGATTCTTCAAAGTATTTAAAATCCAGTTGTGAGCGGACGAAATTCTCGAATGTGGGCTTTGTTCAAAATAAGTTTTGAGGACACATTTAATTTTATTAACACCCAGACCTAAGCATGAAGAATTCAAATACATTTTCTCAAGTTAACGACGAAACCTGATATTATTTTGCTGATCACCAGTTGTATTGTTTTGTCCGTACCCAAACTAATTAATCAATTCCAAGTTTTGATTTTTTAGACAACATGACTACATATATGAATGTCTCTGGGATGCGGGCGCATCCGGATGGAGAGTCCCGAATAGGACGAAACGCGCGTCCTGGATTCCACTGCTAGCCACTATCTATCTTTGCTTATAACCTTACTTTCATTTTATTTGTACAAATTTAACTAATTCAGTCGTATTTTTTGTTTTCTTTTCATAGATTCTATGATCTAAAATCAATAGAACAACTAGATCTATCCTACAATCGTCTTGTATACCTTGATAGTCGAATAAAAAATTTAGAGTAAGTGGTTGAATATTCTGTGAAAAAGATTGTGTAACTCCACATACTGGTACAACCGAGAAGATTGGTAAGCCAAGAAAAGATCGATAAACATCAAAAGTTGATAGCAGATACAACTATTTTTACCCCTTACCTAATATAACTATTTGTACGGGTGAAATATTTATAAACGATAAATGATCCATAACTAAGATTAACTGTTATTTAACAAAGTACACTTCATGTTGTAAAATGATTCAGTAGTTTATTCATGTCTCATCTTTCATGTAAATGTTATATAATCAGTAAGATTATTTAATCAACAGAATAAATACCCCCCCAAAATAATGAAATATGTAACTCACTGTTGATTAATCGAGTTAAAAAAGACTTTTGCTCAAAAGTGTTCTTTACTTTAAAGACAGTTTTCATCGATTGAGTTCCCTCGAAATATATGCAGAGGATTGAACGACTGAGTTGATTTAGGCTAAGCATCTCTAATATTTGTCTTTTGACCTTCAGTCTAATTTTCAAAGTGAAAATCTTGATAAGCCAGGAATTTAGAAAACTTATAAACTACTCTTAGCTTCTAGTTTAACTACTATTAATTTTCAAACACATTAAGTTTTGTGAATCAGTCAACTTTATCTTTTATCCCTTTTTATTTACAATACAAATTTTTTTTCAGGCATTTAAAAGTGCTAAAACTTAATGGTAACGATTTAACTGGTATTCCTCCTGGTCTTCTATGTTTATGTGAAAAAGCTTTGGAAAGTTTAAACTTAAATGATAATCCATTATTATGTTTATTTCCAAAAGAGTTTAAAAACAACTCTTTAGTAGAAATTCAATCTTTAAGAGTATTAGCTTGTTTGAAAATGAGAGATGTACTTAATGACATGAATATACAAAATCAAGAAACTTCCAGAGAAAAGCCAGAACAGTATATATTGATTACTAATTCAGAGGAGAACAATGCAAATTTCTTTGAGTTTCAGAAAGTCTCTGACAAAGAAGAGTCAACTATGTCAAATGAATTATTGAGTCCGTAGGTTAATCAAATTTCATTACTTTAGTTCATTGTGACTAGCTTGATACAAAATATTGTTTCCTGAAAATAATGAATTGCGTTTGAGTCTATCCTAAGATACATATATAAGAGGGATAGTAATATTCAGTACTTATTTGAATTAAACGAATTAACCGTGCATGAGTTACGATACTGAACAAAATATTGATAGTATAAAACATTTATGATAATGAAGTCATAGTGAAAAATTTCATAATCATAGAGATAGGAGTTACATAAACATTACTTTTTTCAAAAATCTATTCCTACAGCTACAATTAATAGTTATATAACGCCAAGACGGATTATTCTGCTGACAAAGCGAATGGTTTCTTGAAGCATACTAAGTAACCAAGTGGCTTCTCACGGGAAACCAGTATTAATGTCTTTACGGATGCATAATAATTTTAAATAAATAAACGAATGATGACTTCTCAATTAAGTTCACATCACAAAATTCTACTAGTGTTATTTGATAAACAATAAGTTTTGAAATGTATCTTTCTTAATAGTAGAATGTCATTGTGATGTTGAATTAGGTTTTATTATCGTAAAATAATCTCATTCATGTCTATCTTAAGATATGGTATTTTACATTTGGATCACCCTTTTTTAAAAATAAATATAGATCAAAGCAGAAGCTCACAGTAATACTGATCGTTGAAAACTGTCAGTTTTTTTATGAAGAGTCTATAAAAGGCCTACTTTGAAAAGTCACCTTAGGTTCACTAGAAAAGATATTAAACTACACTGTTTAAGGGATGAAATAATACAATAATTATCATAAATACTATTTTGTAATAGCAAAAGAATCAATTAAAGACATAGTCAATTAAATGAACCCATAAAATTCAGATTTTTAACATTAGTGTCTTGTTCAATTTAAGCCGAAGTTTTCAATGCTTCAATATAAGACTACAATTTTATTTATTAATTTTTATATACATTTTTAGCATTGGTTCTTGTTGCTGGTGTGGGATGGATAGATACGATCAAAAGAATACAATATGTATTCATTGTGTTGATGTATTCAAATATTCAACGGTTCCAATATGTATGTTATGTTGTGGAATTCAATGTGTAACGGAAGTAAAACAGTGTAGTACGTCTGAACAATTCGCAAAACGATATTATAAAAGTTATGAAAACTATACAAATAGATAGTTATATGAATTGTGTTAGTTTTATAAATATTAAGAAAATATTGTTCTTAATTATTGAATTAAATCAAACTCATAATCAGCGATGGAAGTTCAAAAGTTTAATGTTAATATCTTTGACTTTGTTCAGGTTGACAGAAAATAACAAGAGTGAAAAAAGTTGGTTTACTGAATTAAAGCTAAGATTGCCTGTATCGTTTTCAAAACATATTAGGGTTTGATTTACATCAGTGATTAGGGTAGGATAACAATTTTCAGTTAGAGATCTTGGAAAGAAATATTTAGCTATGGCTGAAACTAATTTAGTTTTTAAAATTGGCTCTTATTATCTGAGAATATAGCAGGATAACTTTAGTTCAAATATTCGCTGGTAAAAATACTTAAATTATATGGATGAAAACAAAAAAATGTTAATCAGAAGGCTTGATATTCATCTCAACACCAACTGTTTGTGCCCTTCATTTTTATCTGAAATAAACATTTCATGAGATAGAGATCGTTAACTGGTCTATTAGGTAACCATTGAAAACCCGGAAGCAATTAACGGTTTTGTTTATCCTAGTGTACTACTTTCCAGCATGTGTCCAGAAAACAATAACCGGGATAACTTAATGCCTAAATTCAGAAAAACTATGTATGTGTGAAATAGCGATGTAAAGTAAAACTTAACATAAGTATGAATCCGATTTTCAATTGTTCATCATTTAGGTTTAGTAAATACATCCCTTCCATACATACTGTAATTTAGGTTAACTAGAAAACCATTCGTTTTTGTGAAAGATTTTTCCGTAACATAATGTTGTCATTTGCATTTTTGTTCATCCAGATTGATGTCATAAGTCTCTGTTTAGATTTGCTAAGATCATTATGAATAAGTGGATTCAACAACTAATAATAATATGCAACAAATTTTCTTGCATTCTGTACATTTTACAACAGCATCACAACTGTTTATTAGAAAGTCAAGCAGTCAATCAGTTAAATAGTCATCAACAAAGTAGTATGAAACACAAATTCATATCATTCCACATAGTTACATTTTGTACTTGTATTGTGAGAAGCTGATATAAAGAGTAAAGGTAGCTTAGCCAAAATATCAAACACAAAGTCCTCTTTAGTATGTTAAGGTGAATGAGACCAAGGGTTTAGGGAGAATTAGATGAATGTATCTTATTATTAAGGCTTCCATCCACTTCATACAACCTGTAATATTTAAAAATTCAAATTAACAAGTTGACTGAAAATAATTATGTCGATGAATCTGGCTGAAATTTGCTGTGAGGTTAGATAATGAATTGTTTTCTAGTGACCGAAAGTGGATTCAACTTAATGTCTTTAGTTTTTCAATATTTATCAATCAATGTCTGTGGGTAGCAGTTATCGCTCAATGTTCATCAACTCTTCTTCCAGTTCTTCAGTGGTATATATTCTTTCTACCCTATGAAATGGAGTTTTAATTAATGCTTTCTTATGACTGATTGAACAAAAACTAATAATATTCAGGCATAAACTATTCTACGTATTTTAGTTTAGTAAAATGAACGCTCAACTTCACAGTCCTCTCTCCGTTATGTAGTACTACCAAGGAGTTAGGACGTTTTGTCATTTTAGTGTTCATAGTGAACTGTATATTATGGTCTGCTTTGTTGAAAGGTTCATATATGTGGGTTACGCTATGTTTAATATTACAAACAATAAATATGTCATTAACATATTTGCAATATTCTTGAATAGGTTAACAACTTTAAACAGATTCATTTTGTGATTCTAATTTTTAAATATTACTAATTGTAAGAAGCAGAGGTTAACCTATCGGAACAAAATGAATTTATGCTATTCTGATTAGATCTTTTCGTGCACCCTTGAAGTTAAAACAACTATATAAATAATATTAAAAGACTAAACATATAGACTCTAGTTAAAAATTACCAAATCGAATCGGGAAATGAAAAGTATGATATAAGATGTCATATAAGTGATTAAAATCATAGTATTCAGGATAACTAGCAATATGGTATCATTCCACCATTGGGTTGAAAACATGAGACTTAATATTTCAAACAGCAGTCGTTTAAGAAGAATGCAGTAATCATTCATTGTTATAGCTGAAAAGATGACTCGCTCTGAACTTGACCAACTTCATGAGTAATGGTTTCTGACTACGGAATGTACTTGCATCCAAGTTAATGTACACTCCAAGATTCAAACGCAGGACTCCAACACATTATTCAATTAACTACTAAGGTGGCTATTCACTTGTAAAACGGATACGAATTTCTTTTATAAAGTTTTCAACGTTGATAATAATTCAACTTTATTCGTCTTTTAATCATATTGTAGTGAACGAGAACACAATTGGGGACAATCGAATGTATTCCAATAAGAAGTTACAGAACATCTTAGTAAAATATGAGAACCGTACAGTAAATACTTCATTTGCAAAATGTCAACCAATTTTCTCAGATTTGATTGTTCTTTTCTTTCCACACCAGTCATTTTGTTCGCATTCTCTTTTCTTTGATCTTCTTATCATTCCGCCTTCAGGCATTTCACTTTCAATTAATGATACATATTACTTATATCAGTTGACATCAGTAGCACACAACACAATATGTAATTTAATGAGTTTTTTCAGTATTACGCATTGATGTCTGATGAAATAAGAAATTCAGTATCCAAAATGATTTTTATATAAGATTTCATATACACTAGTACAATCTAAATTAATAGTTTAATAAAATTGAACAACAATGTTTCAATAACAAAATAATCGAAAAAGTAAAGCAAACAATTTTTCCTGTCAATCTTTTATAGGACAAAGATTGTGAATAGAACTTTCTGAATTAAAACTGGATTTTTAATGTATGGATATTCAGATACAAGGTACTTGATAAGATCATAATGATAATGATTATTATTAGGTGTTTCTTTTTGGTGATGAGATATTCCATGAAAACAAAGAGTGTAAACTACATGGTATTTTATTACACATATGAATACATATCATTTCCAAACTTGATAAAAAACTGTTACCTTATGAGAGTTTATAAAAATTTTGCTTTCAGCTAACACATTCTCATATTAACAGGGATTGAAAAAAATAGAATGATCGTCACAAAACACAGTGATTGTCCTGTTTTAAACTTATTGAATTTACGCTACATAAGAAAACACGAAACTTTTAAGTTGTATGGTCAGAAAATATCATAGGCATATTCAAAGTTCTTTCTGTTTATCAATAATCCTCGACGTATTCTAAATATTTCTGAATGTAAACATATTTCTTTGACGTTCCATACACTCACTAAGTTTATAAATCGGATGTCATATCAGTGAAGCTTTATGACTGAAGTTAATTTTGTGGGAAAACTCTGGAACATTTTCTTTTTAATATGAATCTGAAAATCATAAACATCCTTTACGAAAATTGATATTTACTAAAAAACTGTCATTCTTTGACCTAGTAAAGACCTTAGTTTAGTTTTAACGAACGTAGAATTTTATATTAATAAACCTTAGATTATTAAAGATGATTAGATAAGTTTTCTGAATAAGCGCTTGATAAAGAATGTTGCTGAGATAGCGAAATGACATTTTACGAATAAATTATCAAGCGTTTTAAAAATGAAATAAACTGATTACATTCACTACCTTGTACTGAATCCTAGAGTATTTATATTGCCTTATTTGTGTTGTGTGTCAAAAGTACATAAACCTGATGTTCCTATCGGATTAGTATTATAAATGATCAATTCTCCGTTTCAAAAACCAGTCCATTAGGACTGATGGGTTCAAAATTGTTTATTCATTATCTGGAAAATACCTTACAGACGTTTGTTGCT